CCAGGCCACCCTGCTGTCCTCTGTCCTCCCAGGAGATCCTGTTGGCTGTGTGGCTCTGCGCAGAGAGGGCAGCTACGTGGTGGCCTCTGGCACCTGCCTTGGCCTCCTGGACTGGGCGACGGGGCAGGTGGAGTGGGCGGCCTGGCTGGACAGGGACAAGCGCCACAACAGGTTCAACGACGGGAAGGTGGACCCCGCCGGGAGGTTTGTGGCAGGTGGGCTGCTGAAAGGACTGGCCCAGGCCACCTGGAGAGCCTCCCGTCATGGTGGGTGCTGGCTGGGTGGGGACCTCAGGAGCCCTCCCCAGGCTGCTGGCAAGCGGCCCCCGGGGGCCATGCAGGTGCTGGGCAGCCCACAGGTTCCCTCCCACTCCAAATCCCATGGCTTCCAGGTCATTCTTCCTGGGTCCCTGCCCAGAGAGGACCTGGGGAGGGTTGAAGCCGCCAAGGTGGGGCAGCAGCCAGAGCTGCTGGCCAGAGGCCATTCACGTGCGGCTGAGGGCCCAGCACCTCTGCCTGAGCAGGCCTCTTCCCAGTGGAATATCTCTGGGGTCCCCCCTTCGCCCAGCACAGAGGCTCACTTACAGATGCCGCCTGAGGGCCATCCTGCCTGCTGTCCCCCGACTGAGGGTGACCACAGCTCTCTGCATAGTGGGTCTGTGTGGGGTGGGCAGGGCAGGGTGTTGCCCACTGACCTTCCACTCTCTCCAGGCACCATGCCAGAGGCGTCTGGCCCAGGAGTGTGGGAGCCGGGGCAGGGCTCCCTGTACACACTCTTCGCTGACCGCCCGGTGGTCAGACAGCTGGACTAGCTGGGCATCCCCAACGGGCTGGACTGGTCCCTGGACCACCGCACTCTCTACCACGTGGATAGCCTGGACTACTCTGTGCGGGACTCTGACTACGACCTACAGACAGGAGGCCTGGGTAGGGGCCGCCTTGCTAGCCCCCCACACCCTCCCCACGCGAAGGCCTCCGTGGCCAGCCCCCACACCCTCCCTGGGCGGGGCCTCTGTGGCCATTCCCCCCCAAGCCCTCCCTGGGCGGGGCCTCTGTGGCCCACCTCCCACCCCCTCCCTGGGCAGGGCCTCCAGTGGCCAGCCCCCCACACCCTCCCAGGATAGGGGCCTCCGTGGCCCACCCCCCACACCCTCCACAGGTGGGAGCCTCTTTGGCCCTCCCCTGACACCCTCGCAAGTCCCCTCCTGGGGTCCCAGAAGCACCACCGGGTCTGTCACTCCCTCCCGTTGTTGAGGCCATGCTATGTGACCTCCTGGTCTGGGCAGTGAGGCGCCACGCGCCTCTGTCTGTCCTGCTGCAGCAAACCCACGGCTGGTGTGCCAGCTGGAGCCAGAGCAAGGCATGCCAGATGGGCTGTGCGTGGACACCACGGGGACACTCTGGTTGGCCTGCATTGAGGGAGGCAGGGTGATCCGCATGGACCCGGAGACAGGTGTGTGCACAGGGCAGTCGGTCAAGGAGGGGCCATGGGGTGCTCTGTGCCACGGTGTTCAGGGTCCGGGAGTGGGAGGGCAGCAGCACTTGCTTGTCCAGCTACAGGGGGACCTGTGCAGATGGCGGGAGTGCCAGGGTGGCCCCTCAGCACTTGGCCAGTGCAGGGAACACAGGGGATGATGTAGAAAATGACCACAAAGCAGCGGTTGAAAACCACAGGACCTTGTCCTCTCCCACCCTGGAGGGCGGAGGCTGGACCAAGGTCCCAGGCTGAGCACCCTGCACAGGCTCCAGGGGGCTCCTCCTGCCTCTCCAGCTCCTGGGCTCCAGGTGGCCCTGGCTGGTGGCCCCTCACTCCAGTCTCTGCCTCCATCTCCACGGGGCTCCTCTTCTGGGTCTGTGTCCCCTCCTCTGTCTCTTGGGAGGACACAGCCATTGCATGAGGGCCCCCTGACCCAGGAGGAGCCCATCTCAGGACCTTTCACTAATGACCTCTGCAGAGACCCTGTTCCCACACCAGGTCCCACTCACAGGTTCTGGGGTGCAAATGTGGACAGGACCCACCTCTTACCATGGTGTCCAGCTCCCTCCATGGGCTCCAGGGAGGCTCCTCCTGCCTCTCCAGCTCCTGGGCTCCAGGTGGCCCTGCTGACCCCTGCAGTCCATGAGGCAGGGCAGAGTTGGGGATCAAGTGCTGCAGGTGCCAGGGAGAACCAGCAGGCCCAGGGCCCCACTGGGGAGTGGGCACAGTCAGGTCACCTGGGATCCTGCAGCAGGCGGGTGGCTGGGCTTAGGGACTTACCTGAGCTTTACTCACAGGGACGCGGCTGTGCACCCTGAAGATGCCAGTGTCCAGGGTGATGTCCTGCTGTTTCAGGGGGGCTGACTACTCCGACCTGTACGTGACCTCTGCAGCGGACAGCCTGAGTCCCGAGCAGCTGTTGTGGGAGCCGCAGGCAGGACACGTCTTCAAGGTCAGTGGGGTCTCCCTGCCAGGGTCAGCTTGGCTCCCGGCCACGTCTTCTCGGCCAGGTGTAATGCATCTTGACCTCGGGGACTGGAGCGGGCTTGGCAGCATCCATGGGGACATATGTCCACCTGGAACACAGCCCTCCCGAGGCCCCACATGCCCTGCTGTGCACAGAGACGTTTACCGGAGGTTTAGGAAGCTGGCGTGGCTGGCACTGCCGTGGCTGGGGCTGCTGGGAGACTCAGCCACGCCCAGGGACTCACCTCCACCCTCTCCTCCCGCAGGTCACGGGCCTGGGGGTGACGCATCCCGCCCCTTCGCTGGCTGAGGGACTCCACCGTCCAGCGCAGCTCAAGCCAGGCCTCCGTCCCTGGGGTGGGGCCAGGTTCGGCTCTGGCGGGGCACTCCCTGCCTGACCGCTGTTCACAGCTGATAATAAATGTGGCCACCTCAATGTCATCTCTGTAGCTGCTGCCCTGGGATGTGGTCCCCCCAGGGACCACCCCACGCTCTGTCCAGGGTCACTCAGCTTCAGCTTGTAATGCCCCTGTGTGTTCTACAAGGTCTCCACGGGTCACCTGCAGTCCCCAGAACATGTGGCCACACTGGTGTCTCTGAGGTTGGCCTCTCTGCCTCCACTTGGTGCTGGGTCACTGAGAGCAGGAACCTGAGCATGGGCTGTAGCTGTGCTGGACGTGCACAAGTCCATCTGCCAAGGATCAAGCCAGATATCAGGTTCCTTCACAGCACTGGGCGCCCAGTGCCTTTACTTCCAAATAGCCCATCTACCCTTGAAAGGCACCTGCACTCCAGCAGTGACCCAGTCCCTGCCCAGCCCCATCACCTGCCCACTGTCTGTGTCTGGATGGCCTGCTGTGGATAGGTCCTGCCCATGGAGTCCACACTATGTGACTCTTTGTGTCGGCTTCTCTCGGAGCCCCAGGTCTCAAGGTCTGTCCCACTTGCAGCACGTGTCAGAGCTGCAGTCCTTTTCAGGGCTGAGTAATATTCCATCATGTGGATGGACTCGTCCTGTTCCCCATTCCTCCTCAGTGGACAACTGGGTCACTTCTCCTTTCTGACCCTTGTGCATGGTGCTGCTGTGAATGTTCACACACAAGTTTTCATTCCAGCATCTGTTTCTGGGTCTTCAGGGACGTACCTAGGCTGGAGGTGCTGGTGGAATGGGAACTCCCTGCGTAACCCTGAGAGGCCCCTGCACACTGTCCCTGCACAGGGGCTCCATGCTGCCCTCACACAACACACATGCTAAGAGTGACTTAGAACGTTGAATCCCCGACTCCAGAGGGCTCAGCACAGGGCTCCTGGAGGTCCCCACACAGGTGGCCTGCAGGTGCACAGCTGCCGGGAGTCTCTGTCCTGGGGTCCCATGGTCATGGTGGCAGAGTTCAGCTTGTCCTGTGGGCAGGGGTGGGCAGTGCTGTGACCAGGAAGGGCTGACCTGGGACTCAAGCCTCCATCTGGGAGTGAGGCCTGTGTGGAGTTGTTCCTGGCCGAGTGGTCAGTCCTGGAGAGGGGCGGCTGGCCTGGGAAGAGGGAGAGACCTGGTCTCAGGTGCAGCCCCTGATACAGGGTGCTGAGGGGCCAGGCGGGGACCTTAGGGAGGCCAAGCAGGGGCCCAGGAGGTGGGCATCCTCCTGCTGACCACCACTGTCTGCTCAGGGGCTGGGAGTCCAGGAGGCAACTGGGCTTTGCCTTGTCTACATTGGAAAGCACTGGTGTCCACTGTCTGTGTGGTGCTGGTGTATGCCACACAGAGCGCTGGAGAGGACATCTGTAAGACAGTGGACGCCCGCGCTGCCCCAGGCCAGGGGCGGGGTGCCGGGTCCTCACTGAAGTGTCCCTCCTGCCCACCCTGGCTGGGCAGTTTCTGTTCCTGCCTGAGCAGATGGTCAGCCAGGAGAGTGGTCACCTGGACCAGCACTCACCTCTGTGGGAGTGCCCACAGCTTGCCAGCCGCCTGCCCCAGGTCTGCAGGGACCCCTTCTATATATGGATATCACATTAGAACCAAAAGCCACAGAGCAGCTATTATATCAGTTTTCAATGCAATATTATGTTTAACATATGATACAAAAGGCCCCAGAGCAGCTATATCAGTTTTTGATACTGTAGGATGGACATAATCATAGTGTTAAACACAATAGGGCAGCTATTATGTTACTTTATTTATTTATTTATTTTTAAATTTTCTATCTATTTATTTACTTGTTTGTTTGCTTATATTTTGTACCAAGGATTGAACCAAGGGTTGCTTAACAAATAAGCCACATTGACTGCACTTTTTCATTTTTAATTATTTCTATTTTGATAGAGGAATTCTCTAAGTAGTTCAGCAGGTACGTTGTTAAGGCTAAGGCTACCTTTGAACTTGGGATCCTCCTGCCTAAAAGTCCTGAGCTGCTGAGATCAAAGAGATGTGCCACTGTGGTGGCCCTAGGCTAAACTTTCATTAACTGTCTTAAATTGTTAGTATGCATGCACCTGAAACAAAGTCAAAATACATCAGGCAGAGACATACAAAACTTCCCAGGACAATGAAGAATACATGGCTAAATTCGGGGACATCACCATAACTCGGTTGGTCTGTGACCATATAACAGAGCAACAGACAGGAGGACTTCCCTGGTCATTAGTTAATAGTGAAACACACAGCCTTCTCAGAACCACAGTAAAACTCCCCAGAACAGGCCACGTTCTGAGCCATAAGCCTCACCTCAACAAGTGTACAATGTCAGTGAAATCCTAAGTATGCTCAAAGAACATGGGAGTTAAAGCAGAAATCAGATCAGAAGCAGCTGGAAAACGTCTAAGCAACGGGAGATGCAACACAGGGCTCTAAACAGACCCAGGAAGAAGAGGTAATTCAAGGGAAAACTTGACCATGGTGAGAAAAATAAAATGTACAAGTCCAACATGGGAATACCACACAAATGGTGCATTGGGGGTCTCTAGAGCATCCAAATCACATTCCAGAAAAGAAGAGAAAAAAAAACCAATCACTAAAATTGGCATTTAAGGAAAGCAGAGAAAGAGCAAAGTAAGTGCCAATTAAGCACAGGCGGGTAACAGAGGGTGTTGGTGAAACCCCAATCAAGAAATCAGCAGTCTGCAAAACCAAGTTCTCATGAATATCAGCATCACTGACAAACTAATATTGGTTTAAGAAAACAGAGGACAGGAGTGAGGTTATGGCTCAGTATACAGAGCTTGCCTAGCACCAGTGAGATATTGGGTTCAATTCTTACTACCACATCAAAGTAAATAAATAGAACAAAGATATGAAAAATACCTTAAACATTAAACAAATAAGAAAACCAAGGACACAGAAACTGCCCATTACAATTAAGATAGCCACCGTTACCATCCATGGGCTCTTCAACAATATCATGAACATGCACTTGACACAAATCAGATAATTTAGAGTAACTGGCCCACTACTTTGAGAGAGACCATCTCCTACAACTTACACAGAAGGCCAAATACACAAAACACACGAGCCTGTGCCTACTGAAGAAACTGACTCAATAACTCATTACCATCAAAAGAGTGAAATGTAGGGCTCTTAGACATTCTACAGGCTGCCACTAGACATTCCAGAACTGCTATCAATTTTCTACATTTCTTTTGAGAATGCAGAAGCAGAGGAAACACCTTCTAATTTCATTGAAGGCATATGTTACAATATTATCAAAATTAACTTGATAAAATGAGGAAACTATGAATTACTCTCATGATCATAAATGCAAAATACCTCCACAAGCATTACTTAACTGAATCCAAAAATAATTAAAAAGAATTGCATACCAAGTCCAAGACGTTGAAAAGAGTAGAGACTGTAAACTAGAGAGAAAGGGTGTATGATAGTATGTGTGATGGCTCATTTGAATCGTCACCTTGATGGGATTAAGAGACACACTTTTGGTATGTCCATGAGGTTTTGTCTAAGAGTTATTGGCATGTAGCATAGCAAACTGGAAAACCTCCCTAAGTCTGAGTAATGTCATCCAAATAGGATGGTGGCTTGCGTGGAATAAAAGTTGCAACAACATGGTAGCAGCTGCAGATGCAAGCTCGATTCTACATAGATGGGTTTTCCACTTCTGCTGTGATTGCCTGAGTATATTAGACTTTTCCTTTTTCACTCTTCCAAAGCCGATTCTCCCAATGATTCTCCAGGGAGTTTCCAGAAGCACTGGATCTCAGACTAGGGTAGCACCATTGATCCCTCTTGTTCAGAGGCTTCAGCATCTTGGGCTGCACAGCTACTTCTTCTCCAGCTCCCCAGCCAGCAGACTGCCACAGAGGACTCTCCAGTTTCTGGTCATCTCAGACAATCTAATAAATCCTCTTTTTGTAATTATTCTTCCTGTTGATTCTGTTCCAATGGAGAACCCTGACTAATGTAATATATAAGACTACAATCACTCATTTTTGTCTTTCTAGAGGACAGGGTGTTTTCTCGAGGACCTCAAGGCACCAGAGATAGAGGGAAGCACACGCTGCTCAGAATCACCTAGGCCTTTTGGCAGAGCTCCATGTTACTTTAGATGCAACAATATAGATATCATATTAGCTGTGAAGGCCACAGGGCAAATACTATATCAGTTTTAGTTTTATTTCTTTATGTTTTTGGTATCAGAGATTGAATTCAGGAGAACTCAACCACTGAGCTACATTCCCGGCCCTATTTTATATTTTATTTAGAGACAGAGTCTCACTGAGTTGCTTAGCACCTCACTTTTGCTGAGGCTGGCTTTGAATTCACAATCCTCCTGTCTCAGCCTCCTGAGCCACTGGGATTACAGGCATGTGTCACTGCGCCTGGCCTTCGATCAGTTTTAGATCCTGTATTATGGACATTGTATTAATATCAGAGGCCACAGAGCAGCTGTCATATCAATTTTAAATGCTATATTAGTCTTAAAGGACACAGGGCAGCCACTTTATCAGTTTTTGATGCTCTAGTATAGATATCATATCAGTACTGAAGACCATGGGGCAGGAATTATATCACTTTTAAAAGTAACAATATGGATACTGCATTAGTATTATACTATAATAACTTGAAATGCCATTATTTTATTTTATTAATTAATGGATATCATTTTATTATAAAAGGCTACAGTGTAGCTATTTTAATAGTTTTGGAAGATAGAGCATGGATATTATATTAACATTAAAGGCCAAAGGGAAGCTAGTATATTAATTTTACATGCTGTTCTATGGATATCATAATAATATTTAAACTACAGGGCAGTTATTATATTAGCTTAAGATGCAATAAGATGGATATTCCATCAATATTAAAAGCCACAGGGCATGTATTATATTTCTTTCAGATGTTATAGTTTAAATATTATATTAGTATTAAAGGTCACAGGGAAGCTAAGTATTAGTTTTAGAGTTTATACTATGGATATGATGTTAGTA